CCCTGACACCCAGGAAACCAGCTATCCCCACTGTGTTTGGGATCCAAGTTAGTTGACAGCAGTTTCCACTGTATCTTCTGAGAAGAGTACTACAGCATCAAGGATGTTTCACATCCTGGCAGATGTGCAAAGTACAAAGAGGCACCTGCTGCCAGCCCTCCTCCTGATGATGTCACTGCTTCATACAGCCCAGAAACCTTGCTGGCTGCCACTTAAAACCAAGATACTCCCTTTTGTTCTACCTGTTATGAAGAAATGGCTCTTCACTCCATGCATGTCTTGGTCAGAAGATGCTGTGAATCATGTCTTTGCTATGAGAAAGAACTCTGGTGCTGAGGCTACAAGTATATACAGTGTAGGATCATTAGGACACTGGTTTAGAGGTGTTCCAGAGCAAACGTAAAATCCTTAACTGTCTGCAGCCAACATCCATTGCTACTCTAGTTAGTGTAGGCCAAGTTTCTTTCAGGAAACCTCCCTATTCTTAATCCCATAGTTTGTTCAGAACTGGTACTACCTGAAGATACGCAGGAGGGTCCTGATATCCAAATCAATCAAAATACCATTCTGCTAGATGCAGAGAATTGCACAAAACCCAAACTCAAGCCAGTCACCCTCTATTTTCTTGGTAAACAGATCAGTGATAATCCTGTGCCACCAAGCTTATGACTGGACCTTCCAGGAAGCAGTGTCAACATGTGAAATGGGTTGTTTTTAATTGGTGTGTTCCCACTGGTCTTCCTGGAAGTCTAGAGTTTTCATTAATATTACTCTATTAACAAGGAGCCCAGCTTTTTTAGGACAAAAGGAGTATTCAACAAAAAGGAGCTTTTTACAGGAAAATCTTCAGTATCTGAATAAATACTTGCCTTTCCTACCCCTGTACTCATTACAAATTAAAGAAGAAATCACAAAGATTTTTAGTTTTCTCTTAGTTGTTCCCCCATATAGGGTGTAAATATGTATCCCAAAGCCTGGGTCAAGGGTCAGGCCAAACGATCACCATCTAGACATAGTATCTCTGGCCACACCTTTGGACTCTGCATATTGCACAATCCGACAGCTCCTTTATATCCTAATCTGCCAGTGCCGCTCGTTCTATAACTTTGGGGCTAACTTTGGGTATCACAAGCATAAACAAGAGAATGTCACTAAACTTTTTATAGGCAAAGACCATGGACCTTCTCCCAAGGAAGAGGTAGATACATGCCCCTGCCCACAAGGTTTTGCACACAATTTTAGGTCACTCGCAAGCCTGAACCATAAGAAAAGTATACCTTCCTTGATTCTACATAGCTCTCTGAGCTTCTCACATTGATTCTTTAAGACAAACTTTAAAGGCTTTTATTTCCTTAAGTGCCCTGTTCCCCCTCCCCCGCCCCCAAAACTCAAAAACCAGAGTGGACATTCTTTGGAATGCATTAGTGGCGTATTCACCAGTTCGTATTTAATAATACCAATTGCATTTGCAAAAGTGAAGATAAGACTGCACTGAGAGAATATCTGTATGGCTTCTCTTACACACTTTTTTTTGGGGGTGGGGTGGGGAGGAGGCCTTATAAAAAGAGCCACAATAGGAAATAGTGCAACAATAAAGCTCTTGCTTATAAAAAGGATATATGAAGATTATGTTTGGATACCCTGCCTTCCCTGGAGGAGCACTTTCTCTATAGTGTTTTTTTTTTTGTTTTGTTTTGTTTTGTTTTTAAAGATTTATTTATTTACTCATACAGAACTGGGCAGAGATTTGGAGGGTGAGAGGATTCACCAGAGACAGAGCGGGGAGCAGAACAGGCAGATCGACGAAGTACACTGCTGAGGGGAGCAGCGGGTGGGTAGGAGAGGTCTGCCTCGCCATGTGGTCACCTCCGAGGCAGGCAGGGGTCGAACTCAAGTGTAAGTGGCTTTAGCTTCTTAATGCTGTGCTTTAACCCGCTGCGCCACCAGGGAGGGCCTTCTCTATAGTGTTTTAATAAAAATAAAGTACCATCAATCACCTACCTTTCCCCTGCTTCCAATGATCTGGAATCCTTTCTTGTATGTGCTTGTCCTGGATGAATTGATGATCATAATCTTGCTCTGCATTCTATTTCTGTTTTCACACACTACTGAACATCTAGCTTCTCAGCAGCACAAGCTCAAGGGATCAGTTAGGTTTCCTTGCAGCTATTTTCACAGGAAGATTTATTCAGGGCAGTACTGTGGTGGAGGGGAAGCAACAGCCAACAAAAATTGCAAGGTTCCTGAGAACTGATCTCAAAGCCTTTGAATATCCTGCCTGTTAAGTATCCAGGAGACCTGGGTCAAGGTTATCAGCCTGACCTCCAGAGGGGTGAGAGCTCAAAGGTCACCAGCATGGCTATGTCACTTAGCCCTCATAAGAACACTGAACATAGGGGTAAGGTGAGCTACCCTCGCACCCTCTGTGTGTTGTTATACATACACATTGCTGAGCATGTTCCATCCATATTCCACTGGAAGGACAACAGAAAGCACCACACACGGGCTTCCGCACTCTGCACCATGCACCTCTTTCCTTGGCAGATGCTCACCAGTATCCTTCAGCTGTAATAAGCTATGTCCATGAGTGAGTTCTAACAAGTTCTTCTAGCAAGTTCTTGGAAACCCCTGAATTTGTAGATGGCATTGAAAGAAGGTGTTGTAAGACACCCAAAACTCTAGCTGATGTCAGAAGTGATCTTAGAGAAATCATCAGAAATCATATGACATTGTTTTGTGTATGATTCTTTTACGAGGCACTCTATTTCTAAATTCCTTCATCATCTATAAGTATACTTTAATTACAGTTATCACTTTTGTTGTAACCTATTATAAAATTTGACAATAATTTTACTACCTCTACTTTTGATGAGCATTTGGATTTTTTCCACTTTTGCACTATTACTATTGACCAGCCTAAAAGGAAAAATATAGAACAATCCACAATCATATGGGAAATTTTGACACCCACAGCTGATAAGAACTAGATTTTTTTAAAAATCTGAACATTTTTATTATATAATTAACAAATTAGATTTCACATCAGTTAATACCTAAAAATCCTGTAGTCCTTCTTTGAGAATAATAATAATAATAAACATTTTCCAAACATATACTATATTCTTACATTTTCTAACAGCTCTATGAATATTATTTCAGCTCATCTTCATAACAGCTTTTCCAATTTTACTGATCAGAACACCGAAGAATAGAAAAGGAGGTTGTGGGGGCGGGGAACGGCAGGCCTAGAATTCAACTTCAAGAAATCGGATTTCAGAGCCAAGTTCTGAATTCCTAAACTATTCTCAACATCTTCCATTTCCTATTTCTTCTGTGTCCCTTTGGTACTTGCATCTTGCTAGAAAATCATTTGTTACAGTCTAAATTTTATTAACCTGAGTTAAACTTTAAGTTGTAAAGTCCTAGAATTTATATCAAAAATGAAATTAGTTTAAGCTCTATTTTCTTTCTTCTGATATCATAAACCTTATTAAACCATCTGGAGGGAACAATTATAATCCATGACAATTATAATAGCTATATAACAATAGAGCAATTATAATTCTATGACATGGTAACCATTGTCTCATCTAAGACCTATTATGACTCACTACTCCGATGCTTGAAGATAAACATCACTAACATTTAGTAGTAAAATATATAATTGTCTAAGCACCATCACTCACAAAAAGCAATTTTTCCTTTCAGTAGTTTTAAGCACTACCACTATGAAAGCAATACATGCTGAAAGCAAGGAATTTTTTTAAAAAAAGATTTATTTATGCATACAGAACTGGAGTACAGGCCAGAGGTGCAGGGACGGTGAGAGGATTCACCAGAGACAGAGTGGGGAGCAGAACAGACCAACTGACAAAGTACACTGCTGAGGGGAGCAGCGGGCGGGTCAGGAGAGGTCTGTGGCGCCATGTGGCTCACCTTGGAGGCAGGTGGGGATCGCACTCATGCTGAAGTGGCTTTAGCTTCTTAGTGCTGCGTTTAAACCTGCTACACCACCAGGGAGGGCGCCCAAGCAAGGAGTTTTTTAAAAAAGACACAAAACCTTGCCTTCTGCATAATTTGACTATGGTTAACTTTCTACCTTTTCTCCTGGAAACTTGACCTAAGTGGACAACTGACTGGGTAGTAATGGAACAGTTTTAAGTAAAATGTAAAATAGTCCCTGATTATGCCTAGACTGGAACAAACTACGATTGAACTAGAAATACCCAATAATGACTTTGTGGCTTTGTCTGTAAAGGCACAATTAGGTCTGACTGGCAACTTTTGCTATTTAAATAAAAGCATTAAAAGAGCAGACTTGGGTTGCCATTAGCATCTTGATCCACACATTAGGAATACCAGTCAGGTTTCATTCCTGTAAAAATAATATTTTGTTTCCAGATGAAACCCCACTACTGTTTTACTTTTTCCCCTGTAGCATTTATCTAGCAGTTGTAACAATGTATTTGCTTATTATCTATCTTCCCTTCTAAAATGTGAGCACCATGAAGGAAAGAGCTTTGTTCTTTCTTGCTCACTGCTCCATCCCCAACACTTAAAATAGTAACTGGTATCCAGTAGGAGTTTGATGGGTATTTGTTAGCTGAAACTCCCGCTAACTTATGGGCACTACCTGATTGACTAAACTTTGCTGAGCACCTACTTTGTCCAGCCCTGTGCAAGTAATTAGGGCCTCCCGTTTCCTACACTGTCCTTTTTATTCTTGTTACTTTGCTTCTATTCACTTATTTGAATTTTGTCTGATACTTGTTAAGGTGTAAGATATTGACCTGTAAAACATGTGTCCTGCCTTTGTACTGGTTATAAAAACTGATAACTTCATCATCTTAGGCTGTTTCACATCAAATATGAAATGTAATAACTGCTGATAGAGTGGTTGTGGGCTATGATTTTACAGTGCTAACAATCACAGATGAAACGTCAAGACAATTTTCTAGCGACAGGACATTTATTAAAATGATGATTTCACCAAGATTCTCCGTGAGTTCATTTATAATATTTTATAACAAAATTTATCTTCAAAATACTGTACCCACACCCATTTCCTAAATATCTCACAAACTACTTGAATCACTTTTCAAAACAACCATGTTCTTCCCCTTAGGAGAAGCCTACCTTTGAGGATAAAATGAGGTCTGCAGCAGTCATAGACTGGGTATTACCTAATTAATCTCTACTTCCACACTTCTTTCAGGCACTCACCTTGGGTACTTTTCCACAAGTACTTTCTTTTTACTCAAAAGAGAGCTAATTTAGTTGCCTTTAAAAGCAATAAAAAGTGAACATTTCTTCCCTGATGACATGTTCAAAGAATCAGATTTTTTGAAGAATCACACACCAGTTCCCCTGATCATAGAAGCTCTGCAGAATGCTGACGTCACTCAAAGTCTGGCAGGCAGCCTCCAATTCTCCCTCACAAAACACATGGTAATAGCGATGAAACACAGCACCTTGCTCAGGGGGTACCACTGCCCCAGACAGTTCAACAGGTTTATCTTTGCCAGAGTTTTCCTTAAGGTGCCAGGGAACTAGTAAGTCTTGAGAATGAAAAGAAGTCCTGTTAGTGTGAATAGGCAGCCTGGAATTCGTAAGTTTCTTTGAATTGCATCCTTCCATCTGAAAGTCATTCAGGCCGGCAGAACATGCTGAATCCCGCTTGCCCACATCAGGTGTTTGCTCCACAAGTAACTCTTGCATTGATGTGTCATTTTTGTTCTCCTCTTTCTTTCCTTGGCTAAGTCTGCTTTCTCTAAGGTATTTGGACTTCTTTTTATTATATTCTTGTTCCATTGCCCAGACATAAATGAGTGCTTTCCCGCCAGGTCTCAGGAGTCGAACAAGTTCTTGGAGAGCTGCCACTCTGCGCTCCTAGTGAAAAAACATGTTGCCAATATCAACCAGGAGAAGATGCACAGAGGAATCAGGAAAAAATAGCTGTTTTCAATGGAGCTGAACAGCCAGAAAATCCAACAAAATAGGTTATATAAAAATATAAAACAAAAGTGAAAGAAAAAAGAGCAAAGGGGCATTTATTTATTCTTTGATTATGGAATAAAATGCTGAAGAAGTAGATAGAGAAAAGGAAGTTTTTCTCAGAGGGTGAGTTTCTACTTTGCTTTGGATTCAGTTAATGTCATTCGTTGTACTGAAATAGCACGTGGCTCTAGCATAGGGATCTGAAAATTATTGCTAAACTCAGCAAGAAACATTAAACACTGGGGGAAATATGATTTTTTTTTCTTGTAAGAGAAATTTAAAGTATTAAATTCACTTATTTTGAAATTTGGGGCATACCAGCACCAATTAAATACATTTGTTAAAAATAAAATAGGAAAAGAGGGAACACAAACAAGAGATTGACGAAGGTGCTGGAAACGAAAATGAGGGCCAAGAAAGTAAGCTGGAGAAAGAGAAAGAGGCTCATAGGTAAGGAGAGATTGTTCTCTAGGGGCCTGTGGCTGATGGTCTCTCAAAGTATTTTGCAGCTAAAATTCTGTAACTCTGGATTTGAGAAAGGCATTTAAAGATAAATAAGACTCAGCAGGAAGATAAAAAAAAATGCAGCAACTAGTGTGCAGTCCCCCATCAGGCTTCTTGGTTAAGAAAGCACGAGTCCTGTGGAGCCTGTCTCTATTCCACATGCTTTCTCTTTCTCTCTCTCTTCCTTCCTTCCTTCTTTCTTTTTTAATAACATGATAGTTTATTTTCATATCATTTTGTACCTTTTTCCATCTCTCAGTGTAATCCCGTGGGCTTCCCATCACCAAATCACCCGCGTGCCATCACCATGGTCCCGTGTACTCCCCACCCCCACCTGCCCCATTTTTTATCCCATTCCCTACTCCACCCCTGTAAAATGTCTTTGGTATACAGCTGTTCATGATTATTATTATTTTTGCCACTAGTCCTTTATACTCCTGCTATGAGTGAAACCATCAATAATTTTCCTTTTCTTTGTGGTTTATTTCACTAAGCATGCTCCCTTCCAGCTCCATTCATGTTGCTGCAAAAGGCATGTGTTTTTTTGTTTTTGTTTTTGCTGAGTAATATTCCATTGTGTATATGTACCACCTCTTTTTTTTTTTTTTTAAAGATTTATTTATTTATTCATATAGAGCTGGGGTACAGGCCAGAGATGCGGAGGGTGAGAGGATTCACCAGAGAGAGTGGGGAGCAGAACAGGCAGATCTACAAAGTACACTGCTGAGGGGAGCAGTGGGCGGGCCAGGAGAGGTCTGCAGCGCCATGTGGTCTCCTCCGGGGCAGGCGGGAATCAAACTCATGCGGAAGTGGCTTTAGCTTCTCAGTGCTGTGTTTTAACCCACTGCGCCACCAGGGAGGGCCAATGTACCACCTCTTTTTAATCCCGTCATCTACTTTTAGGCATTTGGCTTGATTCTATGTCTTTCTTATTGTAAATAAAGCAGCAATAAACATCCACATCTTAACCACATGGGACAGGGCCATCCCTGGTGGCACAATGGGTTGGTGCTGTCCGCAGCCACTGCAGTACTAGTTCAATTCCTAGCCAGGGTAGTGACCCACATGGTGTGACAGACCTCTCCTGACACACCCACTGCTTCCCTCAGTAGTGTATTTCAGTGAATCCATCTGTTCTGCTCCCCACTCTGTCTCTGATGAATCCTTTCACCCACCACACCTCTGGCCTATACCCCGGTTCTTGTATACATAAATAAATCTTAAAAAAATAAAAAATGGGACAAGTTGCTTGGAAAGAAGAGCTAAAATAGGATTCAAATCAGTAAAATCCATGAACATTTCCTGTTACTTTGGTTACAAATTCTTGGAGAAAGAAAGGTGATACTTACTGCTGTAGCAAAATGATGAATCACAGCAATGGAGATACAGGCATCACAAGACTCACTGCGGATTGGTACTGCCAACGCATCACTGACAAAGGCCTGAAACTGCCTTTCCCTGCAAATATCCACCAAGTTTTGGCTACGATCACAGCCCATCTATAATACAGAAGGAAAGAACTTTATAACATCTTTCTTTACTGTCCTGAGAAATTAAGAGCAATGGGTTTATTCCTTCCCATAAAGTTATTAAATTTCATATTTGATGTGAAGTGGTCTAAGACATTGAAATTACTGGTTTTTATAACCAGTACAAAGACAGAAAACACATGATTTACAGGCCAACATATTAGTATCTTAATTAGTATCTAATTGATCACACTCAGAATCTAGGTCTTTTTGTAACATCACACACTGAAAAGCAGAAATCACCCCATAAACACAAGACAGTAAGTCTTTGGGGGGAAGCTACAAAGAGGATCTAAGGTTTGTCATCACTATAGACATAGAAACTCTATTGTGATAACCCACACAGCAGGAAGATGGCTGAATTTTTTCTTGTTTCTTATACTTTTAACATGTATTACAGTACAGTAGAACACAGTAAAACACTCCAAAGTAAAAACAAATAGTTTATTTCATTTTTTAGAAGCTGTTGAGTCCTACTAAACACCTGCCTATACATATACTAAGAATCAAGTGCTAAATTCAAAATGTGTAAAGTGCTATTTAACTACATGATATATAACCAGCCATCCCCTGAGGATCACACTGGCACAGCCAGCAGCATCATTTCATCGCTCTCACCAAGAGGAGAGACCTAACACGCCCTACATGTGTGCTCGGTTCTGTGCAAGTGTTTGGAGGGGTGAAGGCATATCTTCTCTCTAATTCTGTTGCTGTTTTTAATACACAATTTTACTATTTAGTTCTATGAATACTAAGATGTGTGAGAATATTAAGAGAATGTGAGTATGCACAAACACCCACAATATGTGCATGTGTAAACTGAGGGATGGGAGGAGCTTAAGAAATGATACATTACTAAATGATAATAACTATATCTAGATATTTCTTTTTAGCCGAATCTCCACAAGAGGGGAAAAAAACACAAGTCAATTTCATCAAACACAAGTTACCACCTCGAGTTTTCATTTACTCTTTTGAATGTTGATATACTATTGTAAGCTTTCCCTTGATCCACCTAAGAATAAAAAAAAATGCAAATCCTCAGGTAAATCAGTACTTACTAAGCCAAATAACATTGTCATGCGAATCATACTTAGAATGAATCTGCTCAGTTTCTAGCTGATATTAAACAGTTTTAAAATACCCGTTAATAGATGGCTAGATAATGAAATTGTGGAGTTGAAGGTCAGTGGATACTACTCAATTAAGGAAAAAAGATAAAGCAGTGTTTTGGGGGACAAAACGGATATATCTTGAAGTGATGATGCTAAGTAAAATAAGTCAGAAAGTGAAGGACAATTATCTGATGGTCTCACTCGTTCATGGGATAAACAATAACCAAAGAAAACAAACTGGTAAAGCACAATGAAAGGGACTCTGAACTCTCTCTGGTTGTTACCAGAGAGATGGGAGGTGGGTAGAAGAGTGTAGAGGAGGGAAGGTGAAAGGGTAGTTTCACTGGAGCTCTGGTGGAAGGTGAAGGAAGCATGTGTACCCAGGGAGGTGTGATGTGATTCTCCTGAAAGTATAGCTATGTAGACAAATGGCAAGTCAATAAAGTTACAAAGCAAAACATAGCTTCTACATTCTAGGCTAGAGCTGAATTACTTTTTGAGGTGTAATAAAGGCACCAAGCTGAAAAGAAAGCAGAGCAGTTTCCCTTTGATGTACTTTAAGATGGAAGTATCAAGGACCCACTACTAGCAATGGCATGACGTTCAGTGAATTGCCCTCTTTACCTGTGTAAGATGCTCATGTTCCTTATCACTTTTATTTCCACCCGTATTCTAGGCCACTGCACCAACACTCACAATAGCAGGATGACAATACCACTGAAGTAACATGCATATTATATTTGGGCGCTTGCTGACTTTTGTTACAATAAAATTCAGTGCACAGAATCAGAAGTTTCAAGGACGTCCAATTCTGAAAGATTGCTATACCTTGCTGAAAAGTCAAGAGGAAGAAATCCAACTTGCCTACAAAACAAATTCTCAGAGACAGAACTCAATAGAGAAGGAAAGTTATTATTTGAGAGCCAGAGATAAAACAGAACAAGAAAAGGAGCCAAACAAAACAAGAGAAAATGTACTTCCTGCTAGGCTATTACACTTATTTGCACAAAGTGCTACTTTTTGCCACATGAGAGAATAGGAGCAATTTCAGTCCTGAAGCACAGGGTCTAAAGCAGCCTTCTCACATGCCTGGCTCTGGACTTTAATCTTTCACTTACTGTTTCCCTGAGTCTTCCACGCACTACAATCAAACTGTCAGTTTTGTTTTCTTCCTTTTCTGCTTTTAAATTTCCTTAAGTTTGTATATCAAGGAGAGAACCAAGTGTTTGAAAGTCTCCCTAATAATGATGTGTAATGACAACAACAGGACAGACAATGACTTATTTATAAATACAGATACAATGAAAGACTCATTTAAAGATACAAGTTTCTGGTTGTCGGATAGAGTGCCATTACATAACCACATTTGGTTGGGCTTAAAATGTATACTTAAACTCCTACATAATGTTTTTATATTTTCAATAAAACACTAAACATGCAATTCCGGAAGTACAAGTAAAGTATTCAACCAACCCTCAAAGACGCAAACTAAAACAAGGTTTTGTTTTTCTCTGATTGAAGTATCAAAAATATTTAACCAAAGGGTACTATGGTGGTACCTGTGTGACAAAACATAGATAAATCATGACTAGATGACCAACATAAAGTGTTGGTAACAGTACAAATTTGCTCAACCAATTTGAGGAAGCAATTTTGCAAACCCTAATAAATACAAAAGTATCCACAGTTTTGACCCAATAATTATTCTTCCAAGAGTTTATCCTAAGAAAGTAATGCAAAATATAGAAAAATTTAAATGAGCAAATAAAACTTCCTTTTCTCAAAAACCCACTAAATACATAGCAAAGTCTTTTCATCAACGTGCCTAACCCTTTTAACACTCTATGAAATAGGCATTACTATCATTTCAGAAAAGGAAACTTTATGTCAAAGTAATTTGTCCCAAATCGAACAGTTTAACAGTTAAATGGCAGCAATTCATTAATTTATAATATTTATTTATATACATATTTTACAACATTGTTCATTTTTGTACACTTTTTATTTCTCCTCTTAGGTGTAGTCCATGTAAAATTCCGACCACCAAGTCACCTGTGAATGATCACCCTAGTCCCTTGTGGTTCTTCTTGCCCCATTTTAATCCCTCTCCTTCCCCTGAGGAGTATTTCTAATTTAGAGCTGCCTGCTAGTTTTGTCTTTTATTTTCCTTTTTATCCACTTGGATGGTTTCCCTATGGTCCCCCAATAAATAAAGCTATCTGATACTTTTCTTTTTCCTTCTGGCTTATTTCACTGAGCATGATCCCTTCCAGCTCCACCCATGTTGCAAATGGCAGCAATTTAAACCTGCCACTTATGAGACTTGCCAGTCTCTCATTCCATAAATCCACATTCTTCCTTCTTGTCACATTGTTTCTCAATATACATATTCATTATTAAAGAGGTATTTATAATAGTTCCAAACTGAACACAACCAATTCAACACTTAGAATATCATCAAGTCCAGAAACTATGTAAGAATACATATCAAAATGAAACTATAAGTGATAAGACTATATAAAAAATACTGCACAGCCATATCCTACAATAAGCTGGTTTATTTTGGTATTAGAATAAGCGAATACCCTTTCACCTAGTTTCTAACTTGAGGTTACATTATTGCTATTTCTTAAGAACATACAACTTTTGGGCCCTCCCTGGTGGCACAGCAGGTTAAAGCACTGCACTAAGAAGCTTAAGCCACTTCCGCATGAATTCAATTCCCGCCTGCCCTGAGGAGATCCACATGGCGTGGCAGACCTCTCCTGACCCGCTTGTTCTGCTCCCCACTCTGTTCCTGGTGAGTCCTCTCACCCTCCACATCTCTGGCCTGTACCCCAGTTCTGTATGAATAAATAAATCTTTAAAATATA